GCGATTATTAGCACAACTCCTAAAATGTCTTGGCACGTCCCATGTTAGGAATAAATTCACTGCCTCATACTTTGAAGTATTTGGCACAATGTGATAAATCATTCCTGTGTTATTCACGTGACCATCTTGGTGTGTTCACGTGATCGCTCTTCAATTCTCATGCACATAAATGAGTAAATCAACAATAAAAAAAATAAACGCTAAACTATATACTTTGTGTATATGCTATTCTTCACGACTATTTTTATTTTGTTGATATTGTTGAAAAATATTGTTTTTATATCTAGGGTTATATCATAATATTGGTTGTATAATATTAACTGTGGTTGGTAGATGCTAAACAAGCCGATGAATGACCGCTTCGCCTCAGATGGCCGTTATTTTAATATAATCTATATTGTGGTGTTAGTCATAAATACGTATGATAATTTTTAATTTAATTAAAATAATTAAAGTGTAAATGCAGATTCGTAGATGGTTAAAAATTGGCGCTCTATAGATATAATTGACAAAGTGTTAAGCAAAACAACTTGAAAAAGTACTAATAAATGTAACTAATGACACCGAGTCTGTATTTTTCGGGATAGATGTGTGCGAACGTGGTTAGAAAAGTTGAATATTTAGAATACAGAGGAGGGAAAACGTTTTGAAAAGATGGATGGTTTTGAGAAAATTTCGGGACTAGCAGTAAATAATCGGCTTGGAAGGTGAAGTAGTAAAATTCTTAAAATAAGAGAATCCTTAATCAGAGACTATGGAAAAATTAATATATTTTACAAGATGGCAATAGCATATTTTTCAGATGGATATTCAATACTAGTAAATCGCGCCAATAGAATGAAGTTGAAACTAAAATCTAACTTGATTTTTTAAATGGTATATAGTATTTTATCAGCACTACCAAAGGATATTAAATGTTAAACATATTAGGTATTAGATTTATAGTAGCTCACTGTCATTATATCATTGTAAAACTAAGATGGTACTCGAAGGTATAGTTAAACACATTTATTTGAACACCCTTATTCAAAACTGCGATTGTATATACTTGGCACCATTTAGACTAAAATTATACAAATCTTATAGAATTTCAATAGAAAGTTACGATACTACTACTTCAAAGTACGAGTATAAATTTTACTACTAAATTAACAAAATACATCTTGCTCTGAATCTCTAACTTAGCTATTAAATTTACTATTAAAAGAGGGAAGAAAATAAAGTTGATAAATGTCTTACTTACTAAAGTTTTAAGTCTAAATAAACAGGTACACACGTAGCATTAGCTCGTTTCTAATTCAAAGAAAAAAAAATGTTGTGACTACGATGTATGTATGATGCTACCAGACGTATATCTAGTATAGTAGAAATTGGACAAAAACATCCAAGACAAGTCCAATAACACAAAACAAATGACTGGCAACAGTACTTTTGTTTTGCTTTTAATACAAGGATCAACTTTCTGTTATCTTCGATTATAATATTTTGAATGTCTTGTTCTTTCTGTACGATTTTTTTTCCCGATGATATTTTTTTAAACGGGAAGCCTTCTGTCCGCGGAGCATTGCCATGTTATAACGGTGAAATTATTCTCAGGTGGTTGTGTATAAGGATAAACTTCGAACGGCATCAAGGACTGAGTCGAGCAATCCTGACAAAATGTCAAGTTAAGAAAGAATTTACATATAAGGGGACATATAAGAGGCTGTCGTATTGGTTCATCATTTGAGTGCAAGCTGTCCTGTTCGATATGTTCGACATCCACAACGCGTGTAAAATACATTGTTAGTTTACATGAAAATCGAACACGCGCTACGTGACGACCACCGCCCTTTAATTTCTGTATGAATCCAAAAGAACGGTATCAAATACTATAGCCGCGATAATGAGATTACACAAATTTATTTCTCGAAATCAGATCAAGACAAATTGTCACCTCGATATTCCAGTTCAAACTTTGGATGTTGATGCAATTCATTTTATTCATTCGTGTTTTTCAGTTATAAAATGGAGAGCACCGAATCAAACACACCCGTAAAGGAAACGACGGAAATTAATCCAGACGATATACCGGATGAGGTGACGATATTGACACCGAAGGAAGTGAAAGCGATCAGCGAATCCTGGAAGGTCGTTTATGCTAAGAAAAAAGAGAATGGTGTAGCCCTATTCATAAGGTAAGTGTTACCTGTTTAATCCAATGGAATGATCCGTAGACTTTGTAACCTATAACCTATTCGAGTATTCTAATTAGGTCATACTGTGCGCATGTTTGTTTGGCCCCACTGAATATGGCTAGTTAGCCCACTGCACATGTATAATTGATTAGCGTAACTTGCACTTGCAGAATATAAATTACCACCCATTGTTGATGTATGGTGTATGACTTTCACTTATACACACAAATTATACTCGTTTAATCTCCATGCTGGCGTGCTGAAGTAGTTTATTGTGATTAATTTGAAAGCTAAAGCTCACGTTTCCCTTTTATAGATTTTTAGCTCCGCTGTCGACTTTGTCGAGCGGAGCTTATCATATGAGTGATTGTCCGTCGGCGTCCGGCGGCCGTCGTCGTCGTCGTCCGTGTCAACTTTTTACTTGTTCGACTTCTTCTTGAAAACTACAAGCCTGCATGCTTTAATACTTGATGTTTAATGTACCTTGGGTAGACCTCTCTTAGATTTGCTCATATCATGATGATATCTTCAATTCTCTAATTTTGGTGAATATTTTTTAAATTTTTGGTGAAAAGTGATATTTTCGACTTCTTGTTAAAAACCGTAAGTCCAATTGCTTTGATATTATATATATAGGCACTACAGGTATACCTCTCGCAGATTTGTTCGTTTTATGATCTCTTCAATTCTCTAATTTTAATAAATATTTTTGTCTTTTTTGGTAAAAAGTGATATTTTTGACATTATGCGAATTGCTTTGATACAATACATATTGTTTATTTTCTAATGATATCTTCAGTTCTTTAATTGAAATGTTCATTGCTAACAGCAGAGCTATCTCAGCCAATAGGCTGCTTGTTTTTATAAATGATTGAAATTTTTATAAATTGTGTGATTTACATCTTAATACACTATTCACACCGAAGGGAGTGTCAATGCGAAGCTACTTACAAGAATGTGCCTGATTGGCTACCCAGCTTTAACACCTAACTGTTAGACCAATCAGAGCGCAGCTTGTTTGTTGATCGGTTTTTCGACGTATATATTCTGCCATGTATATATGTTAAACTCTGAAGAAAGTGTGATTTTTTCTTCTTATTTATTGGAACAATAAATTATTATTTAATTATTTTTTATTTTTAACAGACTGTTTCAGTCAGTCCCGGGTTCAAAATCTCTCTTCAAAAATCTTGACGGAATTGACGATGAAGAGAAACTACGAAATCATCCACGTTTGAAAGCACATGGTTTTCGTGTTATGTCATCTGTTAACTCGTTGATAGAGAGTTTGGAGGAGGGTGAATTGTTGGTCCAGTTGCTCAAAGATCTTGGAAGCTCACATTCAAAGAATAAAGTCACCTCTTCACATTTTGATGTAAGTGTGATATAACAAAATAATACTTAGTCAAGATTTTTCATTATTAGCAGACGTCAAACAATGCCATCATTTCTATTGAATCCTGCAAATGTTTTGTCACTTTCCTCTCCAGGCATTAGGACCGGTTATCATTTGGTTACTGCAAAAGGAAAACGGCGACAGCTTCACCCCGGCTGTCAAAAACGCGTGGTTGAAAGGATGGGGCGTGATGAAATCCGTCATTGTGGGATCACTGGAGGAAGCCTATGCCAAAATGAAAACATAGAGGGCGTCAGATAATGATGCTCACGTCACTAAGAGGCTACGAGACAATAACTAATTAATTGTTATAGTATTGTGCAATGAATCATTGGAATAAAGATTCATAAGCTCTTCGAAAAATCTGCTTTACATTTTATTCAATCACGCAATATGTCTGCTGGGTATCCCGAGATCTCGCCGGTGTTGCTTGATCTTTGAAATGAACTGAATAAATTTGGGAAATTAGCTCAACAATAAGCATTGTATATTTTGTCGTAATTTATGAACAGGGATGAACAGATATGTCGATTGGGGTCGGAGTTTCGTCCAAGTTTGGGATACTCGTCATTTTCTATCAGTTACGTAAGAACATTCGTCAACTAACTTCACTATTGGTAAGCTCGACGTACATACATATTAACTCGTTACAAGACGGTTAGGGTGGACGCATGAGATAAAGTAATCGAGTAGTATACATATGGGGGGCACTGGCCCACTTACCTCCTGGAACCTGTAATTCCCTTCCTTCCATCGTCCAAATCGCGCGGTTTCTCGAGCTCGACGCATGGAGCCGGGAACAGCCATTGGTGGCGCTGTATGCAATCGAGATCTATTTCGGCTTGCCGCAGCTCATTCCACAGCTCCTGAGAGCGAGGTTATTTGTAGATATGTTGGCGATCGCCACTGTGTCTGCGGAAGTACTATGGGAGATTGCATGATGGGAGTGAAAAGTCTTTTGATCAGTAAAATAATTTTAGAAAAGTGAAAACTAAAGTGACTGTGAAATAAAGGTTGGTTTTAAATATTAAATATCATGAAATTTGGATGTAATAATGAAAGGAAATTGAACTGGTATGAAAGGGCAGTAAATGTAGCCAGAATGCAAGGTCAGAATCCGGTGGTCAAAATACATCCATCAAGGCGGTTGCTAAGTGTCAACAACTATGGATGAGGTAAAATACTTCGTTTGCAGTTTGCGTGAATGGCCAGGGAGAAAAAATCATGCAAATTCTGTGCTTCAGTAACAGTATTTGCTACTTTTTGTGTGCAATGGAAATTAATACAAGAAATGCTGCCAAAAGACATGTCCTTCTAGTAAAAAACAAGACATGACATGTCATGTCATAGCCCCCGCTCAGAAAAAAAATTTAATCAAAGAAAGCTTAGAAAGAACTCCCGTGTGCTGAGAGTTTTGGAGACACATTAAAAATTAATTCAAAATTACTTATACTTGAGATATTGATGGAATAGCTGAAAACTAATTATGCAAATAAGGTAACTAATATGAACAGATTTAAGTGTAAAACTAATAATGTCTGCACAATGTACCAAGTTTCATTGAAATGTGATAAGAACCAAAAAAATATTAATTATTATGCTAATTAGAGAATTAATATGAACAGATTTTAACCCAAAATTAATCAGACTGTCTATTGTCCTAGAGCATTTATGTACCAAGTTTTATTCAAATGTGATGATCAATACTTGAGATATCAATATTAATTATGTTAATTAGATGATTAAGAAGCATAAATATTTACCAAAAACTAATATGGTGCATAGTCTTACGTTCATTGAAATGTGATGGGTACTCTTTAAAAGTTTCATTGGTTTTTAGACATCATAGAACAGCAAAAAATTAACTAATTATGCAAATTAGGTAATTAAAAGGCACAATTATTTATCCCAAAATTAATTAGGTCTCTGCATAGTCCTAGAATATCTATGTCGCAAGTCTCATTGAAATGTGATGATTAGTACTTGAGATATCAGGTGAAAAGCTGAAAATTAACTAATTATGCTAATAAGGTGATTAATATGCACAAATATTTACCCAAAAACTAATTAGATCACTGCACAGTCCTCAAGTAACTATGTACCAAGTTTCATTGAAACATGATCATTACTACTCGAAATATCAAAAGCTGAAAATTAATTAATTATGCAAATTAGGTAATTAATATGTACTGATATTACCCTAAAAACTATCAGGTATGTGCAGTGTCATATGACACCTATGTACCAAGTTTTATTGAAATGTTATGAATAGTACTTGAGATATCGGTGGAAAGCCGAAAATTGATTAAGCATTATGTAAATTAGGTAATTAATAATATTAACAGATTTTTACCCAAAACTAATCAAATCTGCGCATTAGTTCAGAGCATCCATGTGCCAAGTTTCATTGAAATCCAATGAGTGGTTCTTCAAAAATCAGTGGAACAGTCATAGAACAGCTTAAAATCAGTTAATTATCATGCAAATTAGGTAATTAATATTCATAGATTTTTACCCAAAACTAATCAAATCTGCGCACTAGTTCAGAGCATCCATGTGCCAAATTTCATCAAAATCCAATGAGTGGTTGTTCAGATATCAGTGGAACAGTCTTGGAACAGCTAAAAATCAGCTAATTATCATGCAAATTAGGTAATTAATATTCATATATTTTTACCAAAACCTAATCAACTCTGCGCATTATCCCAGAGCATCTATGTACCAAGTTTTACCAAAATTTGATTAGTGGTTCTTGAGATAACGGTGGAACAAAAAAAGTGACATACATACATACATACAGACATACAGACATACAGACACACAGACAGGGTAACTGCAAAGACTCCCTTTTGTGCTTCGCACACGGGAGTCAAAAAGGAGAATGATGAAAGACTTTTCCCCAGTCCGGGATGAAAAACAAACCCAAAAACCTAAGTTAAGACCCAAGAAAGGTGGTGTCTTACTTTGCCTGTGCTGTCCCCGAAGCAAGAAGCCAATGCTGCTGTGGTGACAGGGTTCGGTGTGCCCGAGAAAGCTAGACCCAAGCCGAATTCGGGGGTGATAAGCTTGAAGTAGGACCGAAACAGTTCGCATGAGGGCGTAGGTCGACAGAAGCGAAACCTGGGAGTTTCCAGGAAGTGCTAGTGGAACAGACAATCTGCCCGCAAAAATGCCGAGACTGACTCATCGCCTATGCGCAGAGGCCCCTGCGGTCGTTTGGGCTGGGTCAGCAAACAAGGCCTGACCCGCTACGACGGGGCCTACCTGAAGAGACCCTGCTCAATAGATTGGGTGTCTCTTAGGTAGTAGTTGATGAAGACGTTCTGTGTTCTCCAGAAGCCTGCCCTCAGAATGTGTTTGAAGGGGGCACCTGACGCTAGCGCTAGTGAGTTAGCAATCGCACGGACCTCATGTTCTCGTACTTGGTGTCTCTGCAAGGTCTGTGTTGAGGAGGATAGTGTATTATAGACCTCCAGTA